CTCTGCTCCCTGACAATGATGTTGCCAATGTGCAGGAAAATCGCTTGTATGTGAATCATTTCAACACTTATAAAATGTGTCATATATACATGTAAATGCAGGAAAAGGCATCAGTAATATTAAGGTTGAAAAGTTGACATTTCAAAGATCTAAGACTTTGTGAGTTCCTCTAGTAGTCTAAACTCAAGTACTTTATTCTTACGTGTAGGTCAGCCCTTCAGGTGGTCACTGTTCGTTGTTTTGTTTATATGTTGTGCCTTCGCTTCAGGTTGCCTTCACTGGCCCACCCTTCTTTTAGAAATTGCAAAAACGACACACCCCGTCAATCATTACCAGAATCTTTCTTTTACATACATACATCTGTATGCTGACCCCCAACACTAAGGAATTTGGTTAGAACTGTTCTTCTGATATCAAATGTCGGCCAGGGCTTGCTGCATGTGCATACAGTAGGGCAGAGGCAAATGATCTGCATTTCTGATCACGAAACCTGTAAAAGTTTCTTTAATGTTTAATTTCACTTGAACTCAACAGTCATGTGGAATATGATATCACCATAGGACACTGCAGTTATAGTTTTGAGTAATACTTTTTGATATCACTTATCCATTTGAGTAATATTTTTATGAAAAGCTTCAAGTCGCAAACAGTGCGTGAAATCGACAACCCAATGCTCATTTAGAAAGGGTGAACAAATCTCACGCAATGTGATTGGTCAACGCACTGCAAACTCTGGAGGTGCACTATTGTGAATTGCCTGTATTGGAAATCAGACGAAGAATAGCACATATTTCCTTGAATGGTATGTGCAGCATTTTAATTTTCAATAAACGTGACCCTCCCCCAAATCTTTTTTTCATGTCATTGTTGGCATTGAATTAGAGCTGTGGACAAAAGCTTGATGAACATATATACAAACTATGTGTACTGTCATCTTGAACTTCGTTCACCTTGTGAAGATGGAATAAAGTTAATGTATTTTTCCCCTCTTTTTTAACATTATCAAGATCACACATTCCGTGTTGTTTTCTGTACAGTCAGAACATGGATTGAGATCTTGTGCAGAATTTTTTTGTGTGATTCCTGGATATTTGACATCAAATTTCTGGAATTTTAGAGTTTGATTTGTCTACTGGTTTACCTCATGGTAAGCATCAGTGGAAAGATTCACATGATCTTAGCCACTTGGGAAAAACTTGTGTCCTTTTGTGAAATGCTCAAAAAAGGTCACAGCGTTTATTGTTGCCATTGTTACAACACCAATGCTGGATGTTCCTTGGGTTTCTCTTCCATACATTGTTTGACTTTCTGAATCTTTGGTTTGACATGCATTTTTCAACCTCTCATTTTCCGTGTTCCGTGGGTTTCTCTTCCATTTGACATGCATTTTTCAACCTCTTGTTTTCCGTATCCGTGAGGAATTGTGGTATTTTTGGAGGTGCATCATGTCGTGGCATTTTCCTATTGTACAAGAATATGCAAGGTGCTGTGCATTGTTTCATGTCTTGGCCGTAGAATTTCTTTCTCACAGACAAATGATTGCATTTCCTATATGGCTTTCCATGGAGAGAAGCCAGTATTTACATGCATGTTGGATGCCTGTATAGTTTGTAAAACAGAGACTTCCCTCTTTAAAAAAAAAAGGAAAGCAGCAGTCATTTATGTTAATTACTGACATATGGTAAAGAACTTCATTTTGAGAACTAGCATTTCCGGCAAATTATACAGAATACTGCATCACAGTTTTTTTCATTTCATTGGCTATCTGAGGTCATTTGTAATTTTGCTTTATATCTTTTCCCTATGATAGTAGATTGGGCAGGCAATTTGCCTGATGTATTATCTTATCGCTGCTGGAAAACCTGCTTTGTGTGCCTCCCCAGTGAATCGTACTTGACATAGGCAATCCTATCGTAGCCCATTCATCTCTGATGTATATGGTCAGGGTCCATTGTGTGTGAAGTCCACAGTTCCTTTTTTTTTTTCAGGCCACACACATTTCAGCCCCCCCCCTCTGCATATGATTATACATGTGCCTGTTACATGCATACAGTCCACTCCACTGCATGCTGAGGGCAAGCGTGCATGCTTGCATGGCCCTACATTGTATGGCCTGTGGCCAGTTCAGTGGGTTGACCTGAAACCAAGCGTACATGTTCTATTCATCAACATTCTGAGGTCAGCTTGGTCCCAGAATAGCACACATGTACTGTACAAGTACATGTACCGGCAGCAGAGACTTTGAACTAGTGCCTATGCGGTGTTATGCCCAATGCCCAACACTAAACCAAGCAGTATTTGACCACCTGTTTGGGAACAATCACCCCTTCCATGCTGCACTTGGGGGGTCATTTTTTTTTAATGCCAATGGTTGAGTCACATCATGAAGATTTTGGGCCAGCTTCCTCAGCACTCAAGTCTACAGGCCATTCAAACTGACCAAAGCATCACATCATTTTAGAGTTAATGACTGCCATGACTGCAGACTTGCGTTGGACACAGCCTCCCAAGAACACAAGTGTTGTAGAGCTGGTCAGTTGTGTGTCGCTACAGGTTTTTTTTTTCCTTCCCTGTCTGTGTGATTCTGTCCTCTTTTCCGGTGGAGGTTATGTGGAAACAGCAGGAGATAATGGTAAATACCTATTTATTTCCTTTACTTTGCTGCGGGGAAAACTGTGTTTCAGTGCTGCATTGTGAAACCGCAGTCTCAGACTCTTTCGGAAGATTCTGTGACACTTCTTTGACAGAAAATGTTCTGTGAGGTGTTTATGTTGCCAGAGGGCTATAATATGTGGTTTTGTGGGGAAGATAGCTTGGAGCGTTGGGTGAGAGGGTCAGTACTGGATTGCACTGATCTTAGGTTTTTATACTTACACATTACCCCATACCGTTATGGCCTTGAACATACAGGAATTGAGTTGATGTGACCAATTTTTCTTTTACCCATATACATGTATTTTGCATTTGAGTAGACAGTGTTATGCTGACTTGCCAGTGCTAGAGTATTTGCATTTTGTATAACAGTTTATATGTGTACATGACATCCTTAAATCGTACTTTGTTTTCTTTTTAGGGAGTGATTCTCAGAAAATTCTACATTAGCCATTGGTACATGTACATGTACATGTACAATAGTCGATTTTACATTATTTGGTCCGAGTTTGCTATCTTTATCCTGTAATTCAGCAAATGGGTCAGTATCCTGAAACTCTGTTTGTTCAGTGCGCAGCGGGTAGAGTAGAGGACAAAAGACATATTTTAAAAAAAATCTTCCCCAGCTCGTAAACAGCCACATAGTGACGCATTGCAGTTGACCCTTATCAGAGCCCCCCAGGTTCATGTTTGTAAATTGCAAGCAGAGCTGTTGTGAGGAAACAGGCTGTACATGTAGGATTAGATGTGGGCTCTGCTGGCGTTGAAAGTGAGTCACAAACTCGGACGTGGGAACAGAGCTGGCATTTGGGGGGTTGGCAAATTGCATGCCCCCCCCCCGAGTCTGTAGGCCTCCGTGTAATACAGTATGCAGAATGAGCTTTCGCTTGTGACTTGCGCATTTGACAGTGTTCTGTGTCTTCGATTGGGGTTTGTGGCTTCTCCAAAGTGTGAAAAAAAAAATAGGACAGAAAACAATCCAATTTAAAAACCTTGTAAATTTAGAGCCAAATATCAGAGTTGCAGAAGTGAAAGTAAATCTTTGTGACAGATAGAAATGGGAGCATGTACATATTTTTCCCCATCTGAACTAAAAAAAAAAGCTTCTAAATGAAATCTGAGGTACAAGAAACACCCATCAAAGAAGATTAGATCCTCCAGTTCTAATACCTCATCACTCATTTCCAAGTGAAGCCAAAATCCCCCCCCCCCCGGAAAACAACATTTCTAGGGAGAACAAAGTCCAACAATAATTGTTCTTGTGAATTCATTTTACACTTGCTCATGATTTACTCATCACATTCAAGAAAAAAATGTCCAAAACAACAAAAAGCAAGGATACGCCTCTTTGTTGGCTATTTGCATTTGTTGGATTTGCATTTTTTGCACATTTATCTTTCCCGAAAACAACAAACCAACACCCCCCTCTATCCCCAGTCTGGACCCTCTGGCATAATCCTGCTGCTTATGTTTTCTGTTACAGAAAGCATCATGTACTTTCCAAAATGAGGCCAACAAAATACATGTACATACAAGTGCCTTCGATCGCAATGTGGTTCCAGTGGCATGGCCAACCTTGGCAGGCATGCGCCTGCAGTCAACAAGAGGCTTGGGCCAGTACTTGTTTGACTGATGTTGGCTGCAATTACGCGTACATTGTACATGCACATGTACTTGTGGGCTGGTACAATGGGCGACTTGAAGCATAATGCTGTTCAAGTTGCTATAGCTGTACATGTGCATACATTTATGTACATTTGTATATATATATATATCCCCACCCCCCCACCCTCACCCCTCAAAGGAAAAAAATGGGGGCGGATCCAGTGTCATGTCTCCTAACTGCTGAATTCTGTAGACGCCAACCTTTCAATGATTCATTCCACAACATTCCCTGGAGCAGAGACCCAGGAGCTACGAGAATGCATTTAAAATGTCTGTCAGATTCAGGTGCCAGCCAGTGGAAACCAACTGTGTGGTGGTGACATGTGCAAGCAAAATTTCTAGCAAATGAATGCCCTAAACCAAACAGTTCATGAAAAATGGATTGAAGCGTCAAGATCTGGCACCATACAGGCAGGGTTTGTTTGGTTTGCCCTACCTGGTCTACATGCATTTTGTACGTGTATGTGTCCACCAGCTAGTGAGAGTGATTGCAGCTTGAAATGAGAAGATGGAGCAACAATAAATATGTGGCGAACAAAACCTGTGTGTTTTTTTTTCATTTTGGATTTTTTTAGTATCGTGGTATTCAACAACAATGGAAGGTAATACATAATGAACTTCGTGTGACAGACTGGTAGTCATGTGCATGTGTTTAATGACAATGCTTTTTTAAATTTCTGCAGGGCTTTGTCGGTGAGTGCATGGGAAGGGATCATGAATGGATGAGGCCACGGAAGCTGAAGTAGTCAGTGACAGCCTGCCTGGGAGTGAAGAAGGCGATCTGGACATTGACTTGGAGCTGAGCAACAGGCTGGAGGACACCATTAAGCAGGAGCGGGTGGAAGAGGAGGAAGTGGATGAGGAGGGGGAGGAAGAGGATCGCCTGGAAGCTGCAGCCAGCCAGGAGAGCCAGGGCTCCCCGACGGAGAAAAGTGGAGCCAAAGCAGCTGAAGCACCAGCAGCCACAGCAGCAGGGGCAGCAGCCGGCGGACAGAAGAGCCTGACCGGCTACCAGTGTCGACTGTGCACCGTCCTACTGTCATCTCAGGGAGCTCTGGATGAGCACATGAACATTCACAGCGGCTCGCGGCCCTACAAGTGTCGGGAGTGCAACTTCAGCTGTTCGCTGCAGAACACCTTGGTGCAGCACCTGGCCGTTCACAGCCATCCCCGGGCTGATATGAACAGCCAACTGTGGCTGGAGCAACCGCAACAACAACCAGCCCAGCCAGCAGTGTACAACAACCACCACCACCAAGCCGACCGGCAGGCTCCTGAGCTCCACCCTCCAGTGCCCCTCCCGCCCCGAATGCCACTTCCTGAAAACCACGCCCCAAGCCTGCCATTCTCCACCGCTGTGGAGCAGGCCCTGATGCCATCGGGGCTGCCCAGCTTTCCCGACCAGGGCAAGGTGTTCCAGTGCAAGCTCTGCACTCACGTGTCCCCAACCAAGACGCACCTGAATGAACACATGAATGTCCACACCGGCAAAAAGCCCTACAAGTGCTTGGTTTGTGGTTTCAGCAGTGCCTTTCGGAGCAGTCTCATGCGCCATCTTATTGTTCACACAGGCACAAGCAAACAGTTCAAGTGCGATTCCTGCCACTACCAGACTCCATACAAGTGTAACCTTCAAGCCCATAAGCGCAAACGCCACAACTCCAATTCCTTGGACAGTCTTGACATGAACTACCCACCTGTCACCTCCCAGAACCAGACCCCTCTGGAGGACAGCCCCCCGCTGCAGACTCATGGCAAACTGTTTTCATCCGAGGAGCAAGCTCGTTACCTCATGCAGTCCGAGCTGACCAACTCGGCCCACCCAACTCACCAGTCCCACGAAAACTCAGGGAACCGCCGGCACTCACTCTCGCCCGATGACCACGACTCCTCAGCGTCCAACGACACACATGAATCGGCCAGGATCACCAACTCTCACGTGCCCTTGCTGAAGAGTGGCGATGCCAGTCGGTACAACTCAGACGGGTCGGTTGTACCGCAGTCCCCTGAGCCACCTGTGCTGGAGAAGAACTCACTAGTGAGCAATGCCGAGATGACTGACAGACCCAAGTCAGGAGAAGCGCTGGACTTCTCGAGCCCATCCATGAGCAACAACGTCCACGACTTGATAACCAATGCGAGCACAACGCAGAGTGCCATTTCTATGCTGTCGAACTCCGTCTCCTCGGCTTCGTCAGCGTTAGGGCTGCCATCGGGGGCATCGTTCACCAGCAGTGTGCCCAACAGCATGGCGACCAGCATTCCTAGCACCTCGCCCCAGCACCCCCTCACCGAAATCTCGGTCATCACACCACTGCAGTGGGCCGGTGCAGGCTTCCCCATTTATCGGCGAAAGAAAGAGGGCGGTGCCCGCAAGCGCAAGCGCACCCCTTTACCCAAACGCAACTACCTCATTTCGCCCAACGGTGACGACCTCAACAACTCCTGGACCGACACACGACCAGAGATCGCCGACTACGTGCGAGCTGGTGGGGAGCCCCAAGCCAGGCAATACTGCCAAGTCACTCAGGCTTACAGTTTCAAGACAGAAGAGGGCCTGCCTTATGCAATCAAATCAGGCGGCATCAACGGCGTGGACCTGTCGGTGGGGCCCCGGGAGGTGGTGTATCCAGACATCGAGCCAGTGAGCAACAGCTCAGTGTCACCCGTCAGTCAGGCAGCGGATGACACCCCAGATGAGCGCAACACACTACCTCAGGGGTTGCCCGTTATGATGGATGCCCACCCGGAGAATCTGGCATTCAACCAGTCCTCCCAAGCCACCCAGACCAACTTGCCCTACGTCGTGGGTGATTCCTCAGGTAAGTTGGATGGGCAGGCCCAGACAGATCAGGTGGGGCCTGACCCCTCCTCCCTCCCCAGCAACCTCCTCAAGTGCCCCCATTGCGAGACGTTCTTCACTGACCACGTCATCTTCACGCTGCACATGAGCTGCCACGGCAGCCGCCATCCCTTTCAGTGCAGCATCTGTGGCTACGTCTGCCGGGATAAGATTGAGTTCACCTGCCACATCACCCGCAGCCAGCACATGCGGTGAAAATCAAATCCACAACAGCACACCCAGTTTCCAAATGTTTTCCCCTCCCCTTGCATTGTAATATTTTGTTGGAAAGTGCGGAGGGGAGGACATTTTATTTTTATTGTTCTTTTGTCAGGTTATTCACCTATTTACCTCTTGCGGACCACTTTGTACGATGTGAATCTTGATAATTGTGGAACTCAAGGCTTAACTCAGGGAGAATGAAATATTGAAGAAACTTAAGCTGCCATGTTTAGTCAAGGTTGTGTGTCATGTCCTGTATGTATGGTTCTGTCGTAAAAATTAAATTTACGTGGTTTAAAAGAAGTATACAGGTAATTATTCTAAATTGTTTTGTAAAAAAAAACAATAGAGATGTCTATATGTAAAATGCACTCGCAGGTGGATTATATATATTAAATGAGTGCTTTTATTATTGTGAAGTCACCATGTGACAGACATCTCCAAATGCTGAAAAGCTGAGTACAAAAGGAAAGGATAAGTAGTGTAAAACATGAGTCTTGATAGTAGGTTCGAGTTTTGGACTTTTGAAGTAGAATTTTTGTAGAAATATATATATAACTAGATGCAACATATAATCATGATTGTATACAGGTTGCAAGCAGTTGTTCCTCTGCTTTAAAGTGGCAGTGCCTGCGAATTTGTTTCCCTGTATTTTTCTGGTCGATATGCCATTTTAAGGGAGAGAAATCACAGGAGAGAATGGGAAGGTCCAAAGGGGGAAGGTCGAGATCTGAGAATTTCCTCCAAATGTGATGGGTGGGCTTCAGAGGACCATCTTTAACCTTGAAATGGGAGGGAAAAGGGGAGAGGAGTGACTGTTTTTTGCCTGGGAAAGCAAACTTGGCAAGTCTCAGTGGCGTGAGACTGGATGAAATGGTGGCACTTGAAATGTCCTTTTGAAGAAATCACTTTCATATTTGTGGTCATCATGTCCACCTTGACTGGTGTGTGCCAAAAAGAGAGAGAAAAAGGTTTGTCTGAAAATGAAATTCTCAGATCGATTGTGGAAGATGCAGATGCGTCAGTCTGTTTGGAGGGGCAACAGGAATTGACTGTAGTTGACAGAGTGATTGCGTTTACAAGCAGTCAGTGCCTTCATGTTTTACTGCTTTTTAGTCACCTGCTGGGTTCATTTGTTACTTTGGATAGCTTTAGCTTGCGTTGCTCTTTTTTTCCATTTTTTTCCCTTCATTTTTAAAGCTTCAATTTCGGCTTGCTCTCAAGTGTTAATTGGAGAAGCAGGCGGCCTTCATGTTGTAAATAGTTTTCATTCTCTTTTCATTTTAAATTCTGGTTCGATTTTAAAGTGCACTGATTATTTGTCTGAAGAATACCGAAGAGGGGAAAAAGCATTCGGTAAACATGAAATGTTTTTTCCCGGGGAACAATGCATTCTGTCATTTATTTATTTTCTGCAATTCTTGACAGTTCAATATATCAACACAAAATCACACTGAACAGAATTTTACATCAAAGACCAATGTGATCATATTTGTTGGATTTCCACTCCCCCCCCCCCCAAAAAAAGCTGTTGAACTCTGCGCAGTGGAGAGAAAATGAACGGCCAAAACAACATGAAAAAAAAAAAAAAAAAAGAATGGCTGGAGGCAGAGTCAGCTATTGCACAGTGCAACTTTTGACTCGGAGGATCTCACCTCAGTGAACTCAATAAGTCGGTTCCCTTCATTGTGACTGCCCAAAACTAAGATAGTTTTGAAGGTTATATGGTTGCTCGGATGTCCTCCAGGAAGAGATGGCCAGAGCAATTATCATCAAGCAACAGGGCCATTGTGCAATGATGCAAGATGGACTTTGTAGCTGATGTGTTTGCTTCAACTGAAGGCTTTTGACACTGAAAATTGCACAGTGCAAGTGTGAGGTTTCTCATTTGGCAATATTTAGGGCATCAAGCGTTGGAGTAAGAAGGAAGCACCAAACAACCCCAAACAAAGGCCAAAACTGATCACTGGTCAGGTCACCTTTCAGGGATTTTTGCTTGCAAACTGTAAATGCCAATGTGATCTTTTCATATACATGTATGAGCTGCATCAAAAATGGACAGGAGTAATTTGGCAACTGCTTTTATATATAGGAAACCAAAAATATGCAAATTTTTTTCTGCACAACCTCCCCCACCCCACATTTATATTTACTTGCAGTGCCAAACTGCTGACTGCTGAAATACACGCACACTGTAATAATCCACACCGGTGAAAAGCCAGCAAGCCCGCATCAGTTCAATAACATGAAAAGCTGGGATGTTGGTGTGGTTTACATGGTTTTTTTTTTTCCCAGGGCATCACCTCACATTATGCAGTGAACTCATGCATAGTTTAACCATGCTCACTGCAGCTTCCTCGGCCAGTGTGGAACCTGATGCATTCAGGTTGGAGGGAGGGGGACAAACAAGAATGCGTTGGCGCAAGTCAGTGAACTGGAGTGTCTCCCATGAGATTTTACTTCAAACAGGATGGGAAAGGGGCGAGATTTGCGATTAATCCACTGGTTCTTTGCATAATCAGTTCTTTCTCTTTTCTTGCTCTCCAATGGAACGGTCGGACATGTACACGTCAGGTACAGCATAAGACGCTGTTAGGAAGTCATCCGGTGCACTGACATTTTCCTTTGATTTGCACTTTGCATTCTCTGAAATGCCTGTCACGATAAGGACACTCTTGAAATATATGTTGGTATCTTTGGAATTACACACAGCATGAACCAGTAAACAGCATTTTCTTCCTTAAAAAACAACAAAAAAATTGTGATCTTTTTTGGCATGCATCTGGATGACTTGAAATATTGCACATTTATTTTCGAAACAGATTTGCATTTTTTTATACACGAGTATCAAGTTGTGCCCCGTCAGTCTGCATGTGTTAAAATCAAACAATCGGTGCGTATTTCATGTACACCTTGGACATTTGTTTTTCCATTTTTTAAATGAAATAAAAGCAAACAAAAGGCCAAAATTTGTATGTTAAACTTCAGCGCATATTATCCCAAGAGGGAATGGATATCGTGCTCAGTAATATCAGAATGCCAAGCATATTTTAATAATATACCGGTACATGTATTTATATCAGGGATGGTATGTTTTGTATGAAATATTTGAGATAAAAATGGAATACCTTTGAATCATTGATGTGATGAACATTAACAGACCTCAGCCCGAGTGCTGCTGTGGATTGGTGTTTCTTTTTTTTTTTTCAAGTGACTGTTCTTTCAAAGACTAAGATGAGAGAGATTACCTTTTATTTCTATTCGAACCGAGTATTGTAATAATGATAGCTACCTCTTGTTGTTTTCCCTTTGTGGCATTTCAGTTTTGAGCTTAACATGCCTTCATGAAGCTTGCTTATTTTCATGTTTCTTTGTAGAGGTTATGCATACATGTACACGTCCCTCCTTCTAACTCGGTTGGCACGGGCACAACTCCATGGTGGCTTTTGCCTTGAATTTAGGCGTGGAGCTTTTGAGTTTGGAAATGACAGCACTGCAATGAAGCAATGGGAGAAATACTAAAAATGACAGTTTGTTCTCACTGGTATTTTGCTGGAGTATAATTAATACTGCAGTGCAGTTCACAACAGGTGTATTTCTGTGACCCTTTCATGACTTTCAACATAACAAGGATAGGAAAAAAAATTGCAATCAATTAGAGTGGGCACACTCATTGACAGCCCGAATGTAAGACTGTCGGCTGTTTTCCAAAATGCTTCTATTTAATTTTTGGTGGATGAGTGGAACTCTTTATGAATGTGTCAGTTGGTGAGATGACATCGCTGAGCGTGTGGGGAAGAAACACACACTTTAGAATATCATCATATTGTCATGGTTACTGGACTGCTCCCAGGCACGACAGTGTACATTTCCACTGTGTAAAGTCAGGGAACAAGTCCTTGGGGAATGAGGTTGTTTTTACCCTTTAGATATCAACTTTTTTTAGTGCTGAAACCACCTTTGTTTGAAATATCCTGATTCTGTTTTGGTGGTTTTCCCTTTATAATCGATTTATAGTCAGTTAACTGTTCAACATGAATGTCTGTCAGAAATTAGGGCTATAAGTAAAAATATCAGTGGTGTTAATTTTGATAGGGGGGGAGGAGAAGGGGATGCTGAGGAGTGAAGATAGTTTGTACAGTTCGTCCAGTCTGCGTGGAATCCCAACCGTTGTCATTCAAGTCCGTTTGTAAGTTCTGTGCAGCCCAAAATGTGAGAAGCTGTAGTCATTTTGTGGTTGAACTATGGAGGGATTTTTGTGTGAAATTCTGATAAGAAATAGGGGAGGGGAGGTACCGTAACACGGTGATGCCAACATCCAAATAGAAACAGCGATCTGTTGCACGGAACCCAATCAGTGGGCATCATCGTGGTGCTGTCCATAGAGATACGTTGCCATAGGAACAAGTGACCTGAGACAGGGTTGAGAACTCCACGAGGACAAGCTCTCGAGTTGACTAGTGGGGCGATTCAAGGGGGCAGGGATGGATGAGGGAACAATGCAGAATCCTGCAATTTTGGAAATTGCCTTTCAGGATTAATGCTCTTTGATGCTCTTCCCTAGTGCAGTGTTTAAGTATATTCATCACCTCTCGAGGCCTCAAGACACCGTCATCTGGAAACATATTTTTGAGTGTACATCGCCTGTGTTTGGTCAGTCAGTGCCCTTAACTGCCATCCTTCCTGCTGTGGTTACTTCAGATGAAGGTTTCTTCTGAAGTGACAATGCTGAGCAGGATTCACCATTAGTGTTTATCTTTTTTTGCCAATTCCAAATATTTGCCAGATAGTATTTAGAAACATTTTTCATTTATCTCTAGAAAATCAATGCTTCTGACCTTGTCTCTCTGATCTGAAGTTGTTTACTCGTGGATTAAAAATCAGTTGAAATTCAAGTGATACCCTGCTTCCAAAAACCAAAAATTTAAGCAACTTTCAAGATCCTAAAATCTCAATTTTGAAACTTTCAATTTGACCAAATGCACAACGAAAGGGAGCACAGTACACGCCAAGTACTGCAGCGTGCTCACTGTCACCGGCCGGTAACAATTTGACTTCTTTCCTCGCGCGCGCAGAATCTCACGACCTTGGCCACGGCCTTGATGGCCTGCGCCAAGCCACCTGTGCACGGCGACATTTCCCCCCTCCCCCATAACACTTGCACCAGTGCTTCTCCTCCACCTTCAGGCCCGACTCCTACTTGAAACCGGGCCGTTAAGATTGATGTTCTAAATAATCCCTCTTGGGGAGGGGGCGGAGAGTGCAACTTTGTGACTAATGCTCAATAACAGGAAACAGGGGAAAAGGAAAAAAAAATTGATCTTGTTCTGTCAGCGCAGAGTACATTATACATCATCCATGCCCTTTGGAACCTTGTCTACTTTAGCACCTGCCCCTCCCCCCCTTTTTTTTTAATTCAAGGGATCAGAAAAGCACATTGTTCACGTCACATCAGGGTGATGTGGCTGATTAGGTTGGCCTCCAACGTTGGGCATCATTGCCTCGACATCGTTATGAGTAATCATGTGACAGATCTGAGGATTTCACCAATGTGGGTTCCCAAAAGGCCAGATCAGAAAAGGAGGGCAGGGGTCAGAGGAAAATAACTAAAAAAAAAAACTCGAACATACTTTTTCTTCTTGTGTTTGAACGTACTTTTTTCTCAATTTTTTTTTTGGGGGGGGGAGGGGGATGGGGTAGGCGGATAAACGCAAACAGAAATGACCAGGTCAACTAAAATGGGTAGTGGACGTGCACTTGTCCCTCCAGCCCCAGGAGGCCTTTGCTCACAGCAAAGTTAATGAAACAAAAACACCCAATGCGAGTGTTGGGAAGCCGTGAACAGCGCAGATAAATGAGTTGGCTTGGAAGGGCAAAAAGAAAAGAAAAAAAAACCGACGGAACGAAAAATACCACACCGACCGCTCGACAACATCCTCACGAATGGGCTAGATGAGATGAACAGAAGCGGAAGCGGTTTACTTTTCTCAGACCCTGCTGTGTGTATCAGGAATTTTTAATTTCATCTTTCACGTTTTCATGGAGGCAACTGTTACTTTGTTGTGTGCGCCGTACGGTACATGCTCATGTATGCATACCTCTCGGACTTACTACTTCCCTACCGCTGTAAAGTTTTACTGCGCTTTTTAAAAAAAAGCTTGCACATTACTATACATGTAATTGCTAATGTTGGGTTTTTAATATACATATATATATATATATTAATAGTGGTATGGTATGATAACCATGAGTTGTTTATTGTGGTTTATAAAAGCAGTAGATGTAGTACAAGATAGACCTTGTTAATTTGTATAGAACCAAAACACTTACCTCGTGAAACAAAAAAAAAAAAACTTCTTTACTTTTGTTTGTGAGGAATGGCAGAATTTGAGAAGAAAAGTTTATAAAAAATTGTTAAGTTAAAATTTCCAGTTGGGAAGAAGATGGTCCAAAATCTGACTGCAATCGAAATTCTTGGCCGCCAGGCATTCCTATTGGAATGTAGGAAGCCGCTAGG